AATGCCCAAAATGAAACCAAACTTGGTGGTGGCCCTGGTGGGCTCCATCTCAGCCTTAGCCCAATTGCTTCAAGGGCCATACTTAATAGTCCATTTTAAACATTTGAAACAATGGTGGGCTGTGTTTGGTTGTGTGGCCCATACGTGAACTACACGCCATCTCATGACCTAACCATCCAAGTTGAAAGTCCAATCAAAAGGGCTCCCGAATCCTACCATAACCCCTGTTTGGTTTTAATGAAAATTAATTTTTTTTTTTTTTTTATAAATTTTGTTAAAAAGTAGATGAAATGTGCGGTAATTTAATAAAATTTGTGGATTCAATTAGATGTGTGTGTGTGTGTGTATATATATATATATATATATTTTTTTTCCAAACTTTTTTGATTAAACCAAATAGGAGCTTATTCCCAAAACTCTTGATAAATTAGATAACTGAACTAAAATTTTATTACTATTTTGTAATTTTACTGTTAGCATTCTTCTTTCTATATTTCATGCTTCCTCGATAGAGTTTATCGTTAGAGAGTGAGAGGTAAATAATGAGAAGGAAAAAAAAGAAAAAGCAAAAGTTATTTAAAATATAATTAATTATGCAGAAAGAATGGTGACATGATGGGAGTTGGATTCTCACACACATGCAGCGGCAGAAGCGAATGTCTTTTGCAATCATCCACCCCACCATATCTACTCATATATAATCACCAGACATCTCTCTCTCTCTCTCTCTCTAGATATGTGTGTATGTATAATGTATGTACTATGCACGCTGACACTTGAAATTGTTGATGAGTGAGATTTTGTTCAGGCTTATCTTTCAAAATAATTCATCCACACACACATTTTCAGATTTTTTTTACATATTTTGATATAAGTTGATAAAACACATGATTGAAAAGTTGAAAAAAATTATGAGTTTCATTAAAATGAATTTGAAAAGATAACTTTTCAAAATAGGGCCAAACGAAACTTTTAAATTTATATATGGCGAGGTGGTGATATCACGGTATGGAGAAGGAATCAAAGGACCCGACAGCCACCAAACGAGAGAGCACAGTAATCACACATTTTATCAACTTTTATCGAATTTACTAAAAATTTGTTTTTAATCCCAACCAGCAGAGTCTTAATTTGTTGGTCATTAAGATTCAAAATGGAAAATCTTCCTCAAAATCTTTTACTGTTGTGGTACGAGAAATTTTAGTCAACCATTTTCTTTCGAAACTCCGTGGAAAAGTTAATTTGTTGGGTAATTATATTCACACTATAATTTTATTAATCAATCTTTCCCCAGCATATAATAGTTTGTTTTCCTAACCCTAAACTGTGTCCCTTATCTCTTGAACCAAGTTATCATAATTATGACAATAAGGTCTGTTTGGGAGCGATTTTTCACCCAAAAAATTGATTTTTTGACCGTTATTTCACTATTTCAATCATCGTCATATTTAACTTATTCTCTCACAAGTGGACCCCATCTTTCTCCTAACGGTCAAAAAATCAATTTTCAAAATTACTCCCAAACAGGCTCCAAGTATATATCAATTACATATAATATGATTAAAATGTGGTGCACCTATAAAAAATTACGGTGTTAGTAAAGTAGTCGCTTTTAATTTTTCTATATAAAAATTTAATCAAAATTTAAATAAATAAAATGTAAAAGAGTTAGAGATATTTTTTGTTATTTCAGTTATATAATTAAGATTATTTAGGGGCCCATTTTAAATCAACAAATCACCAAACGCCGCTTGCAAAAGACAACATTCCCGTTCTTGTCACTGTTTTATTGATGTCTTAATTTAATAAAACTTATTCGATAATTATAGTGTGAATTGTCAATCACATGTCTCAAAAATTTTCATTTGAAAAGATATTTGTTAATGAATGCATTATGTTGTCGTTTTAAGAAGAATACTCTATTATAGTAATTATAGACTATTTTCTTACGAAATTATATAAAAAGACAGTAAAAAAGGATAAAAACACAATCATTCAATTTTCTTCTCATTTGAATCTATAATTTGTACTTTTCTTGGGCCTAATTGTCCGTTAATTGTCACTTATCGGGCATCTAATTATTAATTTTAGCCGACAAGACAACTAAACAGTCATTTTTAACTAAAAGAGAACATAAATAGATATGTGAATAAAATAAAAAGAAAATTGAAACCAATTTTCTTCTTATTCCAAATTGTTGTTCTCATCCCCTACCCTTTCCAATCTTTCTGTCTTAGTCCCCACAGATGTTGCCGCTCCTTGAATTGATTTAGAGTTCTCGTCAGTTGGAAAAAAGTGATTAAGGGTTGTTTGACAAAGATTTTGATAAAAAAATAAAAAATAAAAAGTTAATTTTGATAAAAGTTATGAAAAAATGAAACTTGTGATTAAAAATAAAATAAGAAATAAAATAAGAAAATCAATTCAAATCAAGTTTAGTTTCACATTGATAGCTGCAAATGTAGAAATGATTAAATTACTTACGGACACAAAAGTTTTCACCTTTTAAACAGTCATTTTTAACTAAAAGAGAACATTAATAAATATGTGAATAAAATAAAAAGAAAATTGAAACCAATTTTCTTCTTATTCCAAATTGTTGTTCTCGTCCCCTCCCCTTTCCAATCTTTCTGTCTTAGTCCCCACAGTTGTTGCCGCTCCTTGAATTGATTTAGAGTTCTCGTCAGTTGGAAAAAAGTGATTAAGGGTTGTTTGACAAAGATTTTGATAAAAAAATAAAAAATAAAAAGTTAATTTTGATAAAAGTTATGAAAAAATGAAACGTGTGATTAAAAATAAAATAAGAAATAAAATTCAAATCAAGTTTAGTTTCACATTGATAGCTGCAAATGTAGAAATGATTAAATTACTTACGGACACAAAAGTTTTCACCTTGATTGACACCCCCTTATGTATCAAAAGGTCTGTCAAGTTCCCACTTGCCTTCCAAGAATAAATCATTGCCTTCCAAATGTTCCCTTGCCTTCCAAAAATAAATCCTTGCCTTCCAAGAGCCCCATGTTTCGAACTCACGACCTCTGCTCATATAGGATTGTCCATGTAAAAATAGTAACTTGCAACTGACCTGTTAATTCAATAACATGCTAAAGCGTGACTAATTTTAATCACGCTTAGACAAAAAATACCATAAAATTTAAAGTAGGGCAAATAATTTATTGATTTATTTATTATTATTATTATTATTATTATTATTATTATTTTTTTTTTTTGCATGGATAAATATTAATGTCCAATCTAACAGAAAACAATCTGCACAACAGAACAAACATGTAATACGTTGAAATAGGTAAATAGGTGCATAGGTAGGGACTTAGAATGTCCTGGAAGTCACTATACAGGGACCAATATGTAATTACAAAAAAAAAACTGTAATTACTGTAGTTTTACAATGTATGAAAATTATTGAAAAATGACAAAATTTAGAATCCAACGTGTATGTATATATGCTGTTGTCCTGTATTTATGCATGCAAATTTACTGTATAATTACATGGAAATAATGAGTATGTTTTGTTTCTAATGTGGGGTTTTTTTCTCTTCGGTCCAATAGCTTCTTGATGGGATCAACTTGAAACCAGACCCACCCCACCCCTACCCCTACCCCTACCCCTAATCCAAATCCAAAATCTACACCACCACCACAACGACCACAACCACCCTTTGTCACCGCCATCGCCACAACAACCCGATGTCGACCCCTCAACAACCACCTTCCTGTAGGTCCCACCGTCTGAACCTTCCAATGCAATTTTCCCGCACAATCCTCGGCCACTATTGACACTACAGCGGCTTGCTTTTGCAAAGCTACCCCTATAAAAAAAAAGCTGAAAGCTTAAAAGCTGAAAGAAGGGTGATTATATAACCGAAAGAAGAAGCCTTTTTTATTATTATTTTCTTTGCTCCATGGCTGTAGCTGTATATTCTGTCGTCCCCTCATCTATTAATTATCTACCCCAATTTCTCCATTTGTTTACGGTGATCAAGTCTGAGAAGTAGAGAGAATTTATTCTGGGTTTTAGGCCTCGTGTTTCATAGAATTATATTATCACTTATCCATAAGCGCACTTATCCATGTTAAGCAGCAATAATCCCTCTTCTTTTTCCGAGCCATTTGCATCCTCGGAAAATGAAAACAATAGTAAACGGAAAAGAAGGCCTGCAGGAACCCCAGGTATGTTCATATATAATAAGAAATTTCTTGAATTTATTGCACTTATAATTACTTTTATTGACTGTTTTACTCAATTAATGAAGCTGTTTTACTGTTTAAATAACTAGATCCAGATGCAGAAGTTGTATCTCTTTCACCGAAAACCCTATTGGAATCAGATCGATATGTATGTGAGATCTGCAATCAAGGGTTCCAAAGAGATCAAAATTTACAGATGCATAGAAGAAGACATAAGGTACCTTGGAAACTGCTAAAAAGGGAGACACCAATAGCAAAGAAGAGAGTATTCGTGTGCCCTGAGCCTAGCTGTTTGCATCATGATCCTTGCCATGCTTTAGGTGATCTTGTGGGAATCAAAAAACATTTCAGAAGAAAACACAGTAATCATAAACAGTGGGTTTGTGAGAAATGTTCAAAGGGATATGCAGTTCAATCAGATTACAAGGCACATCTCAAAACTTGTGGAACTAGAGGACATTCTTGTGACTGTGGCCGTGTCTTCTCAAGGTTCGTTTTTTTCTCAAAATTTGTTAATCATCTAGTCATCCACCCACGTCTAAGTTTAAACAGATAGAGAACAAGTTAAATTATCAAATTTTATCAAACACCTATATTTTTACAGTTTTTGATCAAATTAAGTAGGAGGCGACTTGAATTCAAATTTTTGGTGGTCTAAAACTAAAGATTTCCTCTACCACCATATTGAACCAAAATTTTGTTGTATTCAGTGCAGAAGTTAGTTTCCATTTATTATTAATGTTAATTGTCAAATCAGATTATAATCAATAAGTCCGAGAAATGCGCTAGGGAGAAACATCATAATAAACTAGGTTTTGACTGATTCTGGTTATACTTTATTTAGGAACAATTTGTTGACAGTTATCCACAGTTCCCAAAATTCAGTCATATGGGTCAATTTTCGTTTTTTTTTCCCCCAGAATGTCTGTACGTATATATTAGATAAATACAGTTATCTTTTAATAACACTGTTTGACTTTATCCCAGAAATATGATGTGATTAAAATGTTGATCATCATACCTCGTTTCTTACAGAATTACAAAAATAGTCTTTCCATGCATGAAAAATATACATTTACTGGGCTTTTTCTTTTCTTTTTTTTTTTTTTTTTTTTTTTTTTTTATTATTTGTCATCAATATTAATTCTTGGTTAATTTTAGGGTGGAGAGTTTCATTGAACACCAAGATTCTTGCAGCATGGGGCGCCTCAGATCAGAAGCACACAATAATTTACAGCCTGCAGCTTGTTTATCTCGAACAGCCTCAAGCCCTAGTCCCTCTAGTGACACCAATGTTACCCCAATATTTTCTGCACCACTCTCTTTACCAAATCCAAAAATGGACACCAATTTCTTGAGACCTGCAGGTGATTCTAGTCAAAATTTCAAGAATTCCAGGCTACCCAATTTAGAGCTCCAGCTCTTAACCAAAATGGATGAAAATCAGTCAACTCAACTTCAACTCTCTATTGGGTCATCAGAAATCAGTGAAAAAACCGAAATGGATAATGCAAATATGTGCAGTAGTGAGAAGCCAAACATGGCTGCAGCAGTGCCACCATCGAGACGACTAAAAGAACAGGCGGAGGAACAGTTTAGGTTAGCCATGGCTGAAAAGGCTTATGCAGAAGATGCAAGACAACAGGCCAAGCGACAGATTGAATTGGCAGAACAAGAATTTGCCAATGCAAAAGGAATCAGACAACAAGCACGAGCAGAACTAGAGAAAGCACTGGCCTTGAAACAACATGCTATAAATCAAAACAATTCAACTACGTTACAAGTTACTTGCCATGCTTGTAAGCAGCAGTTTCAAGCTTCACGTTCAGTGACAGAAACACTGTCCGCCAACGGAAATTCACTGGGATTGAGTTACATATCATCGTGTTCAAGAGAAAGGGGTATCAAGAAAGGTGATCATAGTGATAAGTGATAATTGATAATCTTATTAAGTTTGTTGTATTCAAGATAATGTAGTTGTTCTTCCTTTAACTGAGAGTTCGTATTCAAGATCTTTAGAGTTTGATTATTTCAAAAACAATAATGTGAATGTAAGGCTTTGTTTCCCCTCATTTTTCTTAAAAGAATATGAGGTTTCTTGATATAAATCAAAAATCCCATTTATGGTTGTTTACTCCAAGTTTTTTCATCGAAGTCCGTTGATATCAAAGCACACAGTCGCGAGTTCAAGTTTTATACACGTATTAGGCCTTTGATAGAAATGAATTCTGTACAAATATTTGATTACGTAAAATATATTTTTTGTATAACAACTTAATTCTTGGATGTTCTTGTGTGAGGGAAGAAGGAAAGAAAAAATATTTTAGCCTACATTGGTAAGGATTAAAGTCAACAAATTTTATGAAAATCATAACTTTCCAGCTATATATTTCATTATTTTTATCAAAATTTATTAAAAATTTAATTTTAATCCCTTATTATTCGTCTAGACTCAAACTTTGTAGTGCATAGATTATCAGTTTGGACAATCTTGAAGATCTTTGTTGGCTTAGGTGGTCAGAAAATAGAGGTGACCAGTCTCTCCCATCCCAGGCATTGAAGACATAAAATTATTAACCAACATTTTGAAATCTAGAGAGTGTGGGGGAGGGGAGAGAGAGAGTCCTGTACTACTGCTGTTTCTCAACTGCAACCCATATAAATATAAAATGAAAAACACCATGTTTTTCAGTGCCACAGTTGTAATGGCTGATGGCAGTCTCGTCTCTTTCAACATCTATAACAGCCACGCAGACACAAACAAAATTCAATAAAACTCATCAGAATCAGTGTTTGAAGAGTGCACAGAAGAACCACACAGCATCTTTCTATTTTTGCAGGGACCATTTGCAAAGAAAACACTCAGAGTTTTAAGACAAACTTGAAAATAAACTGTGTGGTTGCTATTAATTACTTAACTTGGCCAAAAGTGAAAAAGGTCAATTAGTCTTGAGTTAAAGATTTTCATTATTCAATATTCATACTTGGGAACTGTTGGAGTATATTATTTAACCAACCCACCTACAGATCTTAGAGATGATAAAATTTAGAATTAAGCCAGCAGCATTAAATTTATAATAGATTTCTCTTTTTTCTTTTTAATCACATGTTTTTCAATAAAATGATATTATACAAAAACTAAAAACTTTTCTCCTTTTTCAACCACAATCTCCAAAAAACACTATTCCAAAAATTATAACATCAAATAATGGGACTCAAATGAAAAATTTAAGATAGTTATATTTATATCATGGTTTTTATTAATTGCACTTAAAATAATCAAGTTTTGCTCTTTATAACAATTATATCTGTAACTTTTTTGGTGGAGTTTTATTCTCAATTTTCTATTAATTAATACATCTAGTTATTAATTAATACATCTAGTCTCTAATAACGATATCTATCCAAAAAATTCGGAAGGGTCATAAAACAATTTATTTGCCCGCAATATTTAAAATAAAACAATAAACGCAAGAGTGAGATAAAGTATTATTTTCCTTCATTTCGAAGTATGCAAACATAATATTTAGATAGAAATCGTTATTTAGGACAAAATGTCCTAATTAATGAGATGTTGAAGACAAGAATTTGAGGAAAAAAAATTAGATATATAAATATTACAATGAGCAACGGTCGAGGATGTTAAGTGCAATTAAATGCGGTGCAATAAATAAAATTTATGACGTGTGTTATAAAATAGAGAAGTTAATAGATTTGTGTGTATTTTATTAAGAACTAAAACTCTATATTTATAAGGAAGAATTATGGTTGCAACAAATACAATAATCATAAAAATTAGGGTAAAACTTGATGAGTTCTTCTTTCTTTTATCACTTAGGAGCTGTGTGAGATGAAAGTCTCATGCACGGTTTTAAATGAGAGAAAGAAGTGAGGAATCCTCTTTTCGATTCTGACTCTCCACTCCAATCGTTGTTTTTCTTTTTGTTACTTCGAAAGTAGCTGCGTCAATTTCAGCCATACCCACTATGGTAGAATATTCATGTGGGACGTTCTCAGATTTTACACTTGTGATACACGTTCCTTCTATTTCTCCAAGTAAAGCTCCCATTCATTAGATAGAGAACATCACCGAGATTTCGTGATTCGCTGTGGAACTTATTCCAATTCCCAGAGTTCGGATCAAATCGGTATATTTTTATGGTGAAACTTAAACCTATTTTTTTCGATAGCTTTATTCCTATATTAAACCATTTAATTTAAAATCAATAGAAAAAGGTTAATAGATGGTACTAAGTTAGATATCCATAATAGAAAATACAAAGTTATTCGAGTCTCATGTAAATATACTTTTTATGTGTGTATATGTATACGTGAAATGGAGCCTAAAAACGCATAATTGCACGTTTTGGATCTTTATGGAAAGGGGTTTTTTAATCTTTAAGATTTGATGCTTTGACTTTGGACTCTCTCTGGGAAACTTCTCTTTTTGGATTTAAAGTAATGTCACCCCACTCACATGCCCTGTTTCTTCGCTTATCACTAATCCATCGTCCTAACCCTTAACCCACCCAAGATTCCCAATTTATTGGACCCCATCATCTTCATACATTCATCATTTCCCTTTCTTGCCTATATTTGATTATTTTTCTTTCTCGTCTAAAATTTTAAGTTATTCGAGAATCGAGATAAACATATATTCGATATATATATCACTACAAAAGCCATATTCCTTTTTTTGTTAAAGACATGAACGAAAATGTTGAAAATAATAATAATCGAAAGACGTAAAGGGTACAACATGTACAAGGTAAAAAGACTGATGCCACTGTCTCTTTAGATCCTTCTTCACAAAGCAGATGTCAATTCAATGAGAGCTTTTTGGCTGTAAATAAGAGCTTTGTTACCTTTATTCTTTCCAGTGTTGATGTGGGTTACATGTTACCACTCACAAATCTTTTAGGGTTTCACTTTTTGTTTGTTTTTCGTTGCGAAATTCTCTCTATAACAATGTAAAAAGCATTCGAAAAATACAGTCTCATGTGATCATTATCTACAATGAAATTTCTTTTGAATGTTTTTGTCTTTCATATACATACACACACAATTTCAAACAACCAATCGAGTATTTACTATATTTTTACATGAATAAAAATAAATACAAATCTAGTAGATAATTGGGTGCTAAAGAATGATTATGCTTTGCGTCATCATACATTGAGTTAGTACCCGATGCAGTGCAAAAAGAAGAAGATTTCATAAAAATTGGAATCAACATAGACAAAAATAATTTTTGGGGATGCGTGTTTTGGAGAAGTTTGGGTCAATTTTGAGTGAAAACGGTCTAACAAGCAAAATTCAATGAATTTGCCCTTGATATACAACCTTTTTTGGGCCAAATCCCATTGTTTAGGCCGGCGAAAACGCTTTTTTTGGTCATTATTTTTATTATTTTCCTTTTTTTTGGGAAAAAATCAAATTTTTATTTTACTTTTGAATATTTATTAGTTTCATTAGGTTTCGTAGGGATATCTTATTTAGGGGTTGTGAGCCTTAATAGCACGTAGTTTTTGACTAGAACAAAATTCCGCGAGAAATTTTCTCTCGACTCTCTCTTTCTTAATATTTGTAAGCAAATCATTAACCAACACTTGTCATTTTCTATAAGCTTCCGCTATTTCATTACCATAGAACCGTATTGCTATTGTCATACTATGATTTATGTGCATATATAAATAGAGATACACATATAAGTATGAGATATTATGATACCCACTACTGGATGGGGAGAGGCAGTAGTTGATGGAGGCACATGGAGACCAGAAAAGGTCTTCTTCCCAGAAAAGGTTAACACTTTGCAGCCAAAAAGAAAAAGAGAAAAGGCTAAGGGACGAAAAGAAGAGAAAAAGAAGAAAAAAGGAGAACACCCCATGCTCCTTGTTCCAATCAATGGCTAAAAATTGTACTTTCAACTGTTTTTTATTTAAAGCAACCCTTCTCTTCATGAGTAAACCTCATATAAGGTCCCAGAAGAAACAACAATTGTAAGAACAACGACAAATAAACTAAATACAAGTTCCATTACTGTGCTTTTGGTTGCAAGTGACAAACTTTAGCCTAGACCAACACCATTTTTTCTCTTCAATTATTGTTTGTCTTTTTCTTGCTTGGCTTATTCTCATTATTATTAGTGAATAATTCTTGATGATAGTTAATGAATGTCTTTGAACAATGCTTAGTTTAGTATCGGTTTTTACCGAGGATCATTTGAGAGAACCTCTACTTATGTTATATAGAAAGCGCGTATTACACGAGTTTGTGTTAAAAAAATATATGTCGAACGAATGACTGAGTCGAAATTTCTCGGGTATTTGCATAATCAATGCTTCAAAAAATTTTATTAATTTACTTTTTTAGGGTTGGTAGAGAGTGGGAAAGGAAAGAGCTAGATGAATTGTACAACAGCGTTGATCTGAATTAGAGTAATGCATGTCATTATTTATTTATGTTTAAGTAAGAAACAAATAATATTCTGTTAGGGCCACATTTTGCTATCGCACCAACCATGGATAATGCTACAACAACAATAACATCACCAAAATCGTTTGTGCTACTACAAAATCCACTAAAGTTTATACAATTTCAAGTAACGTT